AAGATTCCTCAAGAGCACAGATGTAATAAATAGATGGATTTTCTGTGTTAGATCCCTAGTTTCTGGTATTCAGTTACAGAAATAGAGAATTAAAGCAGAGGAGATGAGACAGATAAATGTCAAGGAGAAGAAAGATGTGAGAACTCACAGAGTAGGCACAGATGGCTGGATAGTACTCAGTTCCATGAGTGTTTCATGGCTGCCCTCTTTGCAGAAAGACCATCTGAAAGAAATGTTGAAAACATCAACCCTGGCCTTGGAAAAAGACTCTCTGGATACCCAGATGAGAGTGAAGCCTTGAAAATACCTTGACTATAGCCTCTAAGTCACTGCACAGAGGACCCAGATATACCCTGCCTAGGTTATAGGTGTTGTGCTTGTAAGTCACTACATTTGTATTAACTTATTGTACAGTAGTGTTAAACTAATACTATGCAGTTTTCTATCCTGAGCTAGGAATGTAAATTTGAAAAATTCAGAGTTGTGCACCTGAGAAAAGTTACTAAGGATCATTCTGTTGAGCATTCCTATTCCACACAGGGACGTTAAAGAAGCCCAAGACAGACTCATGTAGAAGTCAAAGGTGTCAAGGAAATAAATCCTCCAAGATCATGGCTGTGCAGTCTGGGGCCTCTAGAGTTCATGCACCTGCAATGGTAGAACAACTAGGAAATGAAAAGGAGCTGGACATGGTAATGTGTAATTCAGCACTAAGTGGGAAAGGGTAGGTGGGCTACAAGGTCAGGGTCACTGGGCACAAGATAATGATTTCAAGGTCAGCTCTGGATATAGTGAGACTTTTCACTCAACTCACAAACTAAGATAGCGTAAGGTGGAAGACGTCAGGAAGAGAATGTGGCCACATTGTGGAAGATAATACAAAGGTGTGAGTATTGGATGAGGAGAAAAGAACAGCTAATGGGTCTAAGCTGGTGGATGAGTATCTGTGATGGACTCAGAGATGTAGATCAGAAACTAAGTAGTAAATCAGCTGCAGGAGGCTTGAGTGTGTGATCTGCTGAAGAGGGACTTTGAAATCTCAAGCAAATAGATGAGGAAATGTGACATTAGAATGAGGATGTCAGCTGGTGTCTGTAAGACAACTAACAGCCTTGTATGTTCAAGCTCTGATTACTTTGAAAGACTAAGGAAATTTTCCTGTAAGTTTAAACTGGTTGTCTATTTGGTGTATTGAACAGTAAAAGTGAAATGCCTTGAAAATAGTACCAGGTAGGTCTTTATTCAGTAAGCAAACTGATAATTGGTAAAGCATACATGGTGGGACAAACACACATTAGTTTAAGAAATCTCTGTTTCACAGCTTCGCTCTCTTTACAAACAGGATTTCTAAAAATCACATGGATGAGATGTCTGGTGAGAAACAGCTCAGAGACTGAGCTTCAGTGAACAGCAACCCCAGGAGGTTTTTGTTTAGCCCTGGAGCACTGTGAGAGGAAGCTCTAGACCTTGCTGACAATAATAGGTTGCAACATCATCTGCCTCCACAAGATGGATGGTGAAGGTGAAGTCTGTTCCAGACCCACTGCCGCTGAACCTGGCAGGGACTCCAGATGCTACTTTAGATGCATCATAGATAAAGAGTTTGGGGGACTGTCCTGGTTTCTGTTGATACCAATTCATAAGATGAATACCAGCTGTAATGACACCCTGGCTGGACCTACAGGAGATAGTGGCAATTTGCCCTGGAGATACAGCCAAAGAAGCTGGAGACTGAGTCATCACGATTTCCCCAGTGTAACCTGGAATGATAAACACACATAGCTGTCACAGATGTACTGAAAGTACCCCAGTATAAAGCAATCATGTATGTGGAATCTGTAACAGCACTCATGAGCTACTCACAAAGCAGCCATAAAATAAAAGGAATCTTAACACTAATTAAATGCTGTAATTTCAATGATCAAAGACATCAAGGCATAAAAAGCAGCAATGGCCACAGGTGATGGTCCTAGAACTACAACCTCTCACCTGGAACCCAGAGCAGCAGTACCCATAGCAGGAGAGGAGCAGCTGACCCTATTCTGAGACCTGGACTAGAGGCTGCTTCCTGGGCACAGGCAAGCTGCCTTTAAAGATAATTTGGGCAGTCTGCACTGTGGCCAATATCTCAATATGCAAATTAGCTCAGGAAGCTAGACTTGGTGCTCAAAGGACACCTGCTCTTGTGTCACTCTATGGCAGTTGGTATTAGTAAAGAATTCCCTAGAGTATTTTAAGTGTATCCCAAGTGATTTTGTGGCTGGCTCTGTGGAACTGTCACTTTCTGTTATTTAGAAATTCCTTGTGGGGAGTTCACTGTCACTGCTCTGCTGTAAACATGTGAATTGAGGGAGCACTATGACACCTCAGAATTAAAATTTATTTATTTGTATTTTATGTGTATGTGTGTTCTGTCTGCATCTATGTCTGTGCCTCACATGCATCAAATATGACTGTGAACTGTTTGGTTCCCTAAATGGGGTGATGTTAGCAAAGGATAGAGATTGGAGCAAGAGAATGGATATAGACCATGCGTGGTTAACAAAGATGGCCTCTACTAGCCCTCATTACTCATTAGCCTTTTAAACTCTGACTATTGGGGTGTTAAAGAGACTGTTGCATGATTTTATGACTCTGTGACTTTAACCTGTCTATGATGATTTCTAATCCATTAACAGCTTCCAATCTTAGAATATGCTGTCTTTGATGATGAAATATGTAGTGATCTTGAGATGAATATAGACTGGGATAGTAATAAAGATGCTGGAAAAATCTTCCCTGAGTCATCTAAATTTCCAGATTATTTTGTTTCATTGAAGGGTAAGTAGATC